GTGGGTGGGGGGTCGGGCAGGGCCCTCGGCAGGAGGACCGGTCCTGGAGGCCGTCGGGGACCAGATGACCCGGCGAGAGTCCAGTCACCCAGCGAGTGAGTGGGGGGAGGGTGGACCAGCTGAGCCGCTTGAGGGACCGCCAGGAGCGTGTGGGTGCCGGGGAACACGCTGGTGGTCCGGGGGCTGCGGCCGAGGCCAGGGCCTGGGATGTGGCGGAGTGGACTTGCTGCTGAGCTGGAGAAAGGCCGTCTTGGCAGGCTGGTGAGGCCAGAGCCCGACGGGCTGGAATCGGGAGAGAAGGCCGCACTGAGCCCTCTCCCGACCGTTTGTGTCAGTAAAGCCGTGGTGAAAGGGAACAGACGTCGCCGTGGGGCCGCCCTCGGCACCACAGGTCTGCCGGGCGTGGGGCCGCCGGCCGTGGGGGCCAGCCTGTGGAGGGGATGCCGTCGGGCCGTGCTCCAGACGGGAGGTCCGGGCCGAAGGGGCCCGTCGGGACGTCTGTACGAAGGGCGCCTGTCACACCCCGCTGTTCCATCAGGCTCTGTGGAGTGGAGCAAGCCCCGGCTGCTTCGGCGGATCGCAGAGCTGGAAAAAGTGAGTGTGGTCCCGCTACGGCACCTTCCCTGCTCAGGACCTGCCTGTGTGAGAGCAGCCGGTCTTAGAACATGGGACAGACGTAGCGCCGCTCCCGGGACTTATGCAGGGAGTCGGGTCGCACTGAACATGTAAACGGTGGCTGTCTGTCCGCAGACGGCATGCGGACACGCTGGCAAGAGGAGACTCTTACGGGTCCGGACGTGTCATTCCTGTCCCTCGTGTCACAGACGGCAAAGCATGGTCACACGACACACCAAAACGTTTCAGGCTCTCGTGGGCACCCATCGCTGGGTGCGTAGGATCCCAGAGCCTTTCAGACACCCAGCCTGCCGTGCACATGGGGGCTCTTTACTGCCAGTCACTTACCAGACTGTGTTTCTCACCACCCGTATAGTATTTGAATTCACAGAAAACTGTGCATCCGCACTTTGCCAACCAGGAAATTTAGGAAGTTAACGTTTCCTCATATCCCCCAAGTGAATTTGCAAATGTCGTCAAGCTGATTCTGTTGAAATGGGTCAGAAGTGTCCCTACCTTTTGAGTGCTGGTACAGTATCAAGTTAGAGCTGTCAACTGTTTGGTTGAGCAGAGTAAACCTAGAGGGGAGCGATCAAAAAACACAATAATTTCACGTGTTTACAAATCAGAAAACTTAAGTGTCTATAAATTGTGGGTAGTTCAAGAATAAAGCTTGTTAGGAAAGAAGGGCAGCCAGAGGTGCTCCAGAGCCGGTGGGGCAGCGCTCTTCTGCTCGGAGAGATGCTGGTATCGGTGGAAATCTGAAGGTGCTCAGTATCTCCAGCTGGCAGAGCTGGATCGTCTTTGACGTGTGAAAGCACAGAGGCTGAAAATTCCAGACGTCCTAGGGAAATAATAGGATAAACAAGCACAAAGAAAAGCAGTTTTTACGATTTCACTTTCTGTGCTCTGCTCTCTGTTTATTACCGCACCTGCCCCATCTCGGCTGGGTCTGCGTTCCCTGCTCC